TGTTAAACCCTTTTGACTTTGACATTAAGTGGTCCTGTTGCTAAATCTGGAACTGATTTTATAGCCTTGAATATATACCAAAGCTATCTTGTTCTTAGCTAGTTAACTAGTTACTCGTTAAACAACTGTCTGGATGATTTCTTGGAGAGCCACAACGGTCGTAATCCTGGGGTTTCCTTCCTTTTACTTTTTTTTTTTTCTCCGCGGGTGTTTCTGAATTATCTCTCTGTAGCACGCTCTGTGGGGCGAGCGCAAAGCGCTTGTCGCGAATCATCGAGACCTTGCTCGGATGCGTTTGCCGCCGTTGGGGAAGGTGATCGATCCATAAGCGGCTTACCGCTGCTCATTGGTCAGAACATTGAAGCAATAGCTTCTAGGTTAGGTTGGTTGGCTGGTTGGTTAGCTTACAACAGGGTCGGTCAAACACAATCGATCAGCCGCGTCCGCGCATAAAACACATCTGCTGGCCCGGGTTTCTTTTCTTAGAAATCGGCGGAACATTCTCGGGTTCTAGCTACGACCCGCTTGGGAAGCCTGGTAGGGCACAAGCTTTCGGTATTGTGGTCAAGACCTGTGTATAAGAACAAGAAGGATACATATATGATATACATAGCATTGCCGTGTCCTGGTCTCCTTGTATCGACCTGTGATAAGGTTCGTTGTTACCCCTCATGACGCTAATACTAGAAAGCGGAGGTGAGATTGTTTAATGCTGTGTCAGGCTGACGGCGAGGTCGCTTATTTGTCTCCAGTGAGGCCGAAGTCCATAGAGTTCTTCGCCCGTGGCTCCCTGAGATCTGCATACTCTTCCTATATTTCTGGCTGCTCTAACCCCTCATCAATCCGTAATGTTAATGTGGCACAAAGTCGTACGGCATTAACAGAACCTTCGGTCTATCAAATTGAGACAGACGTTGGGGGCCACCAGCCTGGAACAATCCCTATTGGATCCAAAGTAGAACCACACCTCACCTGGTTGCCATCAGGTTTTGGGCCGTTGAGTAATAACAAGCACCGTAGAGTAGGTGGTGCTATTAAAATATCTGATGGTCGACGTCTTGTTCGATTTGACTATTTGACTGTTGCTTAGGCCCGACCTTGCGAGACTCAATTGAAGCGGACTACTTGGAACAATATAGGTTATACCATACCAGAAGAAGATAAGAGCTATGAGAACGGCGCCGCAGTGAAAGCGGGAAAAGGTCCGTTAGCACCCCTGCTAGGCTCTTATTACTGTAAGACTGTAAGACTGTAAGACTGCGGGACCACGTCCAACAGCCGGCCGTCATGTAATAAGCGCGAAGTACGCCCCGGAGACCGACCGCGCTTTGACAATACTAGGCATGGTGTACATACAAGGTGACGTGAAGACAACAGACCGAAACTCAAGCAAACCGTCGAACATATGTATGTAGTGTCCATATGAGTAACACAAGGAGATAGTCGAATCGGAAGACATTAAAACTAAAATAATTCCGGCCGGTTGGCAAAACGTTAGTAATCAGTTGATAGTTGGTAATGACCTGTTAATGATGGCCTGTTAGTAGGAAGCTGTGTAAGGGTTTCATCTTTCATCCCAGGCAGTGTATGTACCTAATGTACATAGTAAATAAATAGAAGCCCATGTGGAAGATCCAGGAAAAGAATACATAGAGAATACATATTGATGCCGTAGGGAACGTGCATTAGGTATAGGTATGTAGGTACCTATGTAAGTATACCTAGGTAGTTAGGTAGGTAGTTATAGGTATGTACGAAGTACCACGAAACCAACATGTCAGGTATGTAGGTTAGTCGTTTACCATGTTTTCATCATTGCTAATTCGGCGCAAATTCCTTTTTTTAAGTAATAATTTGTTACCGGCAGCCAGACTATGTGACAAGCCACAAGCTTGGCCACGTTGTCAAGGAGAGAAGATTGCTGCACATGCATACCTCTTGTATTGTACAATACGTATATATAGGTATGTACCATGGCGATGGTGGCTTTTGAGATAGCCCGAGATGATAAATGGGTAGCACAAGGCCTGATACGTAGTTGATGTTGGTGCAGCACTACGAACAATTAATGTTGGTGGATGCGTAGTGCAACTCGACCGACTGGCCTTCAGCCAGGTTCTCGTGGTTCTCATGGTTCTCGTGGCTGGCGTTGGTACATGTGACATGGAAGGACTCCTTGTCAGGTATTAGGTCGCTTAACCTATTGTTAGATATGTATGTGCATTACATAGGTACCTACGTACGTAGTTACATGTACATATACTGTATTGTACCTTGTAGTTTCTTCCCTGTAGTTTCTTCCCTGTTTTGTACTAAACTAGTATGCACCTAGTAACCGCGTGCCCACATAACAGCCTGTAGGCGCTATACCCAATAGCATTTTAGGTGTACATGTACTAACTTCCAGGCCGCCTCGACGGCCGACCTACCGACCTACCGACCTAAACAATAAACAACAAGTACTGCATAAACAATAGCCAATCTTTAAGCCTCATCATATCCCCACGAAAATATGTCAGGCTTAAAAAGGAATGCCACAGCCAGGGCGCTGGACCGGCTTTGTCTTCTCTTGTCTTCTGCAAGTGTAAGAATGTAGGTTAGGTAAGTAATCCCAAAAATACCCTGTCTCTAAAGTATCATCCTCAAATCAGAAATAGTTTACCGCCTGCTCGTTTATCCAATAAGGGGCAGCCAGTCTCGCATAGCCGCTCACTGGCTAAAACATCTAAGCGCCTAGACATCACGGTGTAGTGGATAGCTAGCTTGTCGCTCAAGTATACGCTGAAGTATATGCATTCGAGAAAATTTCATCCGCGCATGGGCGTAATTCAACGTCGTCGTCGTGATGCTCCTTTGTGGTGATGCTCCTTTGAACCCCACGCATCTCTGTCCGCTATTTTTGTCCTAGATCACTTGCAGAAAATCTACCTGTCATACCTCCCGCCTGTCGCCGTTATGATCCTCCCTGCAAGCCTGCAAGGCACCAAGGCGACACTGCTACCCTATAACCAGGCTACCTTCGTCTGGTTGGGTACCCGCAGTCCGGGGAAAGCCAGATGCGCGGGCGTTTCGCCGCCATGTACAGGAACCCTCGACGGCGGTACCCCTCGCCGCTGCGAGAAACGCCTACGAGTCGTCATGTTGCATATCAGTTCATATCAGTTCATATCAGTTCATATCAGTTCATATCAGTTAGCTTCCAGAAGCGCCTGCGGACCACCGGCTTGCCCTTAATTCGCCAGTTTTCCATCGTCACTGTTGTTCATAGCAAGTAGACTCAGGGGCAAGAGGCTCAAGACGCTCACCCTGTGTACTAAGGTGCTGGCAAGCTGTACGCAAGACTACCAACCGCCAGAGGTACATGCACGTATGTATGCCGTTATCACATCCCCCCTATTAGTGTACCTAACGATACAGGGCAGTCAAGCTTCAGGACTCCCTACGCCCCCTTGCGGCCCAGCCTTATCTACCGCTCGTGACGTATCTTACTTGGAGATTCTAGTACCATGAGGGATCTGGGGCGTCTATTTTTGGAGGTCGTTGCTAAATTAAGAGATAGCCTCAATCTGCAGCCGCTCGCGAGCTGCAAGTGTTAATTAGACGTCACCTCCCAAAATCCAAATCCCGAGCTTCCCTAGTTTTTACACAGCGATCTACAACGTAGTTCCCCTTGGTCCATAGCTATCCTAAGCGCTCTCAACCAGAGCATATTGACTTTAAGCCGAGTACTTCCAACTTGCCATCTTGTTTCACTCGTATATCTATTTCCCTCCAATGGGAAGCAGTTCTCTTCGACTCACCGCCTATCTATTGGCGGTTACTTTCCGCTCTATCAATATATGATGTTTCAGATTCATCCAAACGGCGTTTCTCCTCTGTATCCTACTACCCACGGGCGACCGAAGACGCTGCCTCTCATCCTTGACACTACTCCGCAAGAGCAAGCTTACATTGGTCTCCTGTGGATCTCAAATGAAACAAAGTATCACTGCAGGATAGTTATATAACCCTATAAGCGCGATATAGATTAGGGATGACTCGCTAGCGGCATCGAAAGAACCACGCATTAGAGTCTTTGAGAGGCAACTATATTCCAAGTGACTCACCAAGTGTAATAAGGCCTCTAGGCGCATCAAGCGGCATTACCGCAGATCAGTTGGAAGATGTGGAGAATCCAGCAGATGTCTCTAGTTTCTAATATCTTGATGAGGATAACAATAGTCCTCAGTATAACCTGATTTATAATCTAGTGGTCGAGGGTCATACCTAGCTCGCTGTCGGCGTTGTTTCCTATACCTTGAAACCGCTCGATTCAATTCGCCAAGCGTCGAGAACCCATCCGTCAAAGGGGACCATAGCTTGATTCGTCTATAATCGAACCGAACTTACCGGCTGCCAAAATACAGGAAGAAGCTTGGGTAGTATCGCATAATATCCCGGATGTTCCTAGCGCAGCGCACAATACTCGGGGTTTGGCACCTTTTAATGTTCTCTGTCATCGATGCCCAACACTATTAAGATACGTGAAAGTGGGTAGATATTGCCCGAGGAATAGAGAGGCTATCTCGGCATACAAGCAGTTTCACCCCTTCTATTATTGGTGACCGAGCTTCATGATATGACCTAGTGATAGGAAATTATCTTTGTTATGCAAAGAACCACAAACCCAGCCTGGATACTCATCTCAGGGTCACAGGTATACATACATGTGACCATTCCTTCTCCAGGATGTCTAAGGGTAGTCTCGTGATGAGTTCCCCAACACAGCTAGCTCCTAGTTATACAGGAAATAAGGGGTATCAAGTCACAAAGGGCTCTCCTTACTGATGTCTTTAAAGTTGCGAGCTTCTATTACTAGAACTACTAACTAATGGTATAGAAAAGGGGGTAAATTTACTATTAGAACTGATAAAAATTTAAATACAACATATATGGTAACATATATGGTCTCATTTATAATCACCCTAAGAATGAAGAGATTTACTAGTTATAGTACTTGCTGAGTTTAATAGATTAGCATGGGGCTTTATTCTTAGTAGATAGAACAGTAAGGAGTAACAAGTACGATATCAGGGCACGAATGACATAAAGAAAACCTCCATTGTATAACTACATCTCCATTCCAGCTCTCCATAACAGTAGCGTTAGACCTTAGAGATCCCATTCCGCACTTAAACAAACAGCCCCCCAACTCTCCTTATGCATACCCTCCCACCTAACGAAGTCCTTCGCATCCCGCCCGAACAAATCTAGCAACCGCCCCGTCATCTACTCGACAGCCTGCTCTACAGACGACGGCCGCGTGCAAACCCCGACGACAGGCAGTGCGACGATGGCCCCCGCGCTAGTGACACTCAGCATGTTCCGTAGATGAATCTCGCTAAAAGGGGCCTCGCGGAAGGTGAGGACAAGGAGACGCCGCTCCTTAAGACAGACGTCCGCCGCACGTGTGATGAGGTCGTCGCATATACCTGCGTCAATAGCGGCGAGCATCCGTGTCGAGCAAGGTGCTGCGATCATCCCGTATATGTGATAGGAGCCGCTGGAGATCGGGGCTGCGAGGTCATGTGGGCTGGTGTTGTAATACGAGGGGTTAGTAAAGAGGTCGGCAAAAGGAGTGGTTTCCTATGTAGAGATATTTTGAGAAGGTGTTTATTACCTGTATACGTGGTCCGCCAGTGCTCGCCTCGCCCGCCCGCTTGCTGATGATAACATGTCTCTCGACATTGAGTCGGCGTATTGTCTGTAAAAGTCTGATACCAATATCTACTCTCGTATCCCCCGTGGTGGCGATAGTTACTCTCTTCCTATCTTCTAGAACAGAACCCCCCATCGTGACGTGACTTGTAGGTATATATATGTCTTGGTATTTTCGATCCAAGTACCAAAGCTTTAATTTAAGTATTAGCTGCCAATTCTAAAAGGATGTGAGAAAGTTATAAGAGAGGAGAGATAGTTGGTAGATAGGCTAGTTAAATTCGAGACACGAAAGTTCTAATAAGTATAATGAAATTAATAGCCAACAGTAGGCGAATTGTGAATTGAGTCAACTGGAACAGGTCGGAGTATAATTTTTCACGTTGATTAGTTTCAATTAGCATGGGATCTTTGCTAATAAATAATATCTCGGGGGCTTTAGATTCATAATATCCATACCGTCCCCTATCTTAGCTAACGGAGCGCTTCGGTACGGTTCGGGGCCTGGAGAAACGGGCAGGTCATACCCAGTTCAAGAGATGTTGCGAGCGAAATGGAGTAAGGAATGTGCTCTTTTCTACCGATATATATTAGTGTATCGTACCATATTCGTTGATTATACCCCCAGAGGTCCGGATCGTCAGAGTCGGCATAACTCGGAGCCTTCAGGAGCCTCGGATTAGGGGGTCGGACCCCAGAGAATTGATATTATCGACGCAAATGCTTTATTTTGGGCAAATATAAATAATACTAATGAAGTCCTGATCATCGAGATCAATACGGAATGTTATCCGCACCTCGAAGTCAGCGCCATCATATTGGCTTGGACCCTACAGCATCCGCCAAGCAGATAATGGACAAAGTCATCGCGGCCAAGAGCGCCGCGCCTATCCCCCCAAAGGTCGTTAAGTCCGGTCCCTGCAAGGGGTTTCGCCTTACGCTCGATCAGTTCAACCTAGAAACGCTGCCGTGCCCCCCTGCTGCACTGGTCCGATGGCGTCCAGACGTACGACATGCAGTGTTTCCAGTCTCCGGATGGTGATTGAACCAACTGGGCGATCGCACGTGCTAGTTAGTATAAACCATAATTGAGACTTCTATTCGACGATATATACGATTGCTAACTCCTGTAGTCGTGGCCGTGATTCGCGGCAAGCGCACAAATCCGGACAACCTTGTTTACTGCACGTTGCGCATAGATATCCCCTATCACACTTCACTTCCCTTTCTCGACATGGTCCACAGCTTTTGCGATTCTTAGCCTCCTGACGACTACGGAGGACCTCCCTTAGACCTCCGCGAAGAGCGGCCGAGGGGCTTGCTGGTGTCGGAGTCATCGTCGTACCACGTTTAACAGTATTTTTATCTTATATGAGTAATTACTCGTAATCGAGTGACAGGAGAACGTCTATGATTACAGACTATAAGCAGGCATGAAGTCGCATTATGCATGAGCTGCTGAATCATCCCTAAACCCGCGTTATGTCCTTACGAGTATTACGCCGTACAGCCCGTATCACTCCCGTTTGCTCATTTATTTTCGGATGCTTGGAATAAGAAACTAGAGTATATACCGCTTGTATATTATTGTTTGAAATTAATGCTAATACCAAAGATTGACCACCTAAAGTCATGTTATAATCCAAGGCGCGTCTTATTAAACGAAATGAAACAAATAATAAAATAAGGGATTTCTGTAGAAAGTCCAGTAAAGAAAGAAACAAAAATGAAATGAGACGAGCTCGGCAGGGATCGAACCTGCAATCTTTAGAGAGCCGGAAATAGGACCGAAATCTAACGCCTTACCATTAGGCCACGAACCCGGACGTGCAAAATTTTTGTTAGTTACGCACTATATTTTTTGTGCTGTGGAGAGCGGGCACAATGTGGGTATAACGATTCAAAATGTTCATCACAGCACTAATCCCCAAGAGGTCGTCTAAATAGAAGCTAATCTATCGTAATCATAAGTTCTTATAAGAATTATGATTAATCTTTCTACTCATTCGTATCTCCTAGTGTAAGTGTAAATGTGCTATAATGGGAAAGTGGAGTATCACGTCGAGGTATTTCATTGGTGGAGGTGAATTACATAGACGCATCGCGGTCAGGTACATAGTAATTTGAAATGAGGTTTAATACTTTGTAGATTCACTTATGTATACTAGGTTACCTACCTTAAATCATCCGATTTCTTTGGTATCCTCCTCATATACCTAATAACATACACCCCCCACGTCCCGCTCTCCTTCTTTCCCATTTATGTACTTCCCCCTCTGTCGGTCCCCTCGGCGCATACTCGTCCAAGTCTATATCTAATTCTCTCGTGGTCTCGAATCCAAATTTCTTATACGCTTCGTACGTACGCCTGATGCGACGAGTGTACCCATATAGAGAGGCCCAGGCTGTCGGCGATAGCATTCCCATATCGTAGTAGGGCACTGCCCACACCTTGGGACTGGTGTGAAGGTGGCACTGTAAGGTCAATAACGAAGATGCAAGGCGTGTCCGAGGGGACCAGATCAGATAGCCAGAATTACATATCGGCGTCTTCAAGGGCGTAGAGACGATCGATAGAGCTCTTCTCCTTTTCCTCCCTACTCTCGTCCACATATTTTTTCCCGTTTCGTCATTCCTCGTTTGCCGTTGCTCTCGCTCCTCCCCGCCGGCTTCGTGTCTCCGGGTCCACTCCACGGGACTAGCGCCGGGTCCAGGTTCCTAGATGCCCACCCGGCATGCCCGACGATTTCGCCCATTTCGTCATCCACGGCTTTGGCGTAGATGTATGTTTTCCTGTGGAGAGTATCTAAAAAGCCGGAACGGGAGATGTCATACATATCGAAAGGCTTCTGGCCTAATTACTTTACGATAGTGTGGAGGTCGACGGAGAAAGCCGACGAGGTAATGCGGGCGCAGGCGGGGATGTCGGCGTAGTTGAGGGGTTGGATGGAGATAGAAATTGGCTTACTAGAAGACATGATGCCCAGTAGTGCTGTTGTGAGTACCGTGTGAGAGATATTGGCGAGTTGTGGACGGCCATCTTAGAATGACCGGTTCGGGTCGTAGATGGGTCTGTTGGTTCGGAAGATTTCCCCGCTTCCTACGGGATGGCCCGGTGTCATTCCCCGAAGCTACCTAATATCTACCCAGTAGCTGTATATGTACCCCCGAAGACACGACAATGATACGCGCATATAATGGAGGTTAGCGTAGTAAGGTATGGAAGATGTTTACTATATCGATTCTGGACTCTACGTGTTGACGTTGATTGGTCCATCTCGGGTGTTTGTTCACGTAGCGACGAAGGGAGTGGTGTTTTGGATACATGGTATCGAAACCCAAGGATATGCAGAATCCTAATTGAACTACTGTGATTATACTTTAACGTATTTCTACATAACTAGGATTAATATATAGTCTATTTAATGCCCCCGAGGAGCTCTTAAAGATGAGAGGTAAAACTAAAGATATGAAGCCCGCCTTTTGAGACGGTCGGAATGGTACTCGGTATGAACCCGACACCCTCAAGCTAACTTACGAAAAACCGAGATATTATAGAACATTCAAAAAGATGCGGTATAAGGGGAATCTAACCCCTTTATGTTGGACTCGCGGGGAATCGAACCCCGGACCACTCCCATGCTAAGGGAGTATTATACCACTAAACCACAAGCCCCAACCAGTTTTTGAATCAGAATCCTCAGGAGATTCGATTCGTGTTGAAGATTTTGGTATGTCAAGTTTTATACTCACTGTGCCGGTTGAAGAGGTAGCGTTGCCCTAATCGACGGGGTGGAGTTTGCTTAGCGCTCTTTGTTCATATGTGCCTATTTATAAAATAACCAATAGGTCTCTTCTGCTATAAAGATAGCCCTGTGGGGGATTTAGCTGATTGTGTCAAGTGTCAAAGCATCTACCTACCTATTCAAGTGTAATATCGGCTTAGTCCCTTACGTGTAAGAATAAATCACGATTATGTATAAAAAACAAGAACAAGAATATGAACAGCAAGCATCATATGGAATATAGTTACTGAGACGTCAATGATATCTTCAAATCACTATGGGAGTATTAAATGGTAAGCGTAGCTAAGTCCTAACTGGTTTACAAGCATCGAGTCTATACTGAGTACATACCGAAGTTATACATTCAATGTTGGTGGGAAAACCAGCGTCGGACTCATTCCAGTCGTGAAAAAGGTTGTTAAGGCTGTGTATGCCACGTTGCCTGTACACCGGTTGAGGTTTTTCGGGCCAATAGTATTATTACCGGAGATGCCGGACCGGCAAATTCGGATTGGGCTGTCGGAGTGAACCATAGTCGGAATGAATACTACCGGGAAGGCGTTTTAACTACCGCGACTTCTGGGTCTAGCATCTTGCAACTCGGCCTGAGCCTCGACCCCGCTGTCAGGGGAAGATACATAAAAGGAAGGGTGATGCTGGTGGTAAGTGGACCTAGACAGGTCGAGATGAGAGATTAGATCTCGATCCCGGAGCATTTGGTTCGATTCAAAGCAAGATCGACGCTCTAGAATTTTCCTCTTAAGTGCTAACAGTTACTTTGGGTTGCCTTAGAAGGTTACACGATTTGAGACTGTCGAACGAAATGAGGTAGTCGCGTTTGCATCACATCGTCAAAAATCAGTCGATGGCATCTTGGGGGGGGAGGTAAGAGATACCCCATTAGGAAAATCACTAGGGCGTGTTTTTGGACCGCTAATCTGCGAAGTAATGAAGTATCAAATGTACCTGTATATTGAATCTGTAGCCACTCGGAATGTAGTGGCCCTGCTGCCCTGGTGCCCTGGCAGAAAATTGTCATGGTAGCAATTTGAAATCGTCGGTTAATAAGTGGCGCACCGGACAAAGCAATAAGTGGATATGGGTTTAAGCGTTAGGTACGGTAGTAACGGTAGTAACGATTTGAAAATTTAAGGCCGTAGCTTTCTCGAAATTTAGGAGGTTTAGGAGTTTAGGTTTAAAAATAACACCCGAAAGAAAAGCAAAAGGTTAGAAACGGGTCGGCGTTTTGGCCGTTTTGGCCGTATTTGCGAAGAGAAAAAGAGAAAGGAGCTATCTTTAAATCCAGCCGGGGATATTCCGTCGGTCGCAAGTTCCAATGGGGCAGTGCCAAGAAATGCTGGGAGTTTGCCTGTTTAGGAATGGTCACAGCGGAGTTTCCAGGTGCATTTCCTCCCTTGTTTCCGATAACCGTCTGCATTTGCACCGGGGAAACTCCAAGGAAGGTTTCATTAGTTCAGCATCCAGAGCCATTTGAAGGTATTTGCCAGTAGCTTTTTCTTTTCTCTTTTCCTTTTCCCGCCGTACTACCGGACTTCTTCTCAATCAGGCATTCTCTTAAGTCCCCGTTTGAGAATCCGCGCGGAGGGGGGAGTATTCCTTTTACACTGTTTTTGACTTCGCTGAGGTCGTGCGGTCGTGAGCTGGACTTTATTTCCGACTGTTTCAATCCGACTCTTATATTATTGACTGGTACTGGTCGTGAAGTCTTACCCCGGGCACGATGGACTCTCGGCCCGGCAGCTACCAGACAAGTGTCTTTCGAGCGCAGCCGACCGAGGGAGTCCAACGGAAGATCCAAAAGCGCAATCGTCCTCCCGTATCTTGTCTACTATGCCGGACACGCAAGTGAGTGGCACTTCCCTGTCTCCCGTGTACTATTCTAGCTCATCATCCTTTGATAGGGTGAAATGTGACCGCCAACAGCCCTGTGAGAGGTGCGTCAAAAGCGGCGAGGCCAATTTTTGCGAATATGCGCCTCGTGCCTCTCGCAAGGCTCGCACGGATTCGCGGCCGCAGGCAGATGTCCGGGCCAGACATGAACCTATGTCTCGCCCCGTCCTGCAGGTCCGTCTCCAGAAACTTGAGGAAATGGTCAATAACCTGGTCTACACCACGCGCAACCGAGAGCCTACTCTCGATACCCCATCAAGTTCAGACCAGCGAACGGAGACCACGGAGACTCGTTCTGACTTGAGCTCACCACCGAGTTTGGCGGCGTCCGGATCAGGAGGTCCGCTTCTCCCGACTACGCTTGGCGAGCATAGTTATGTCGGCGCTACTCACTGGGCTTCAATTCTTGATAGTATCCACGATATCCAAGGCATTCTCCGAACTGAGACGGATGAGCCTCCTACTCCCTCGCCTCCACCGTTGAAGGACACGACGGATAGCACGGATATTCTCTTCGGCAAGTTAGTACCCATAACTCTCTCGCAGGCTGTTACGCGATTGCCACCCAAGTCCAAGACAGATGCACTCATCTTGGTTTACTTCCGCCACAAGTTTATGACTGCCCCGTACATTCATACCACAAAATTTCAACGAGAGTACGATGCTTTCTGGGACGATCCGTCTTCTACTAGCTTGTTGTGGCTGAGCTGCCTTGCTTCTATGCTATGGGTCGCTGCTTCGATAACCATCATGAGAGGCGAAAGCGATGAATCGGTAGCAACGCTCCCGGACAAGCTGAGGGTACTATCAACCGAGTGTCTCGTATCGGGGGATTACCTATCTGCTGGGCCTTATTCTATTGAAGCACTCCTATTGCATAGCTATACGGAATTGCAAAGAAACAGGGAAATTGACTGTAGCTTGTGGGCCAAATTCGGACTTGTCGCCCGGCTTGCTCAACGTATGGGGTATCATAGAGATCCCAAATACCTTTCCAACATCACGCCTTTTGAGGGCGAACTCCGTAGGCGAGCGTTCTTTTTCATTGAGGTGTTTGATGTCCTCTTCTCGTTTCAGCTAGGCATGCCCCCGATCATCCGTGACGACGAGTGTGATACCGAATCGCCTAGCAATCTATTTGATTCCGACTTTGACGAGAATGTTATGACTCTACCTCCATCGCGACCGGCTACTGAGCCCACTTCTACTTTGTATTTATGTCACAAATCAAAGCTGTGCCGATTACTACGTCGGGTGATTCGCTTTGCACTATCAATCCATCCTCCTCCATACGAAGAAGTTTGCAAGTTGGATGATGAACTCCATCAGTACCGCGAGCACGTCCCCCCTTCATTACAAATAAAACCGATACGCTCATATAGCTTCACGGACCAGACCTATGACATCATGCATAGACTTATGTTGGAATTGATGTACCTCAAGAGCCTTTGCGTTCTACATCGCCCATATCTTAATCGCGAAAAGGATAACCCCGTATATGATCGGTCACGGAATACGTGTCGAGATGCGGCTCTTAGGATCCTTGACCTACACGCCGAGTATGAGGAGGAGAGCAGACCTGGTGGCCGAATATATGAGGATAAATATATGCTTTCAGCCCTGACACTCCACGACTTTTTAATTGCGTCGATGATATTATGTCTGGATCTTACGGAGAATCTACCGAGCAGGTAAGTTCAAGTCAAGTAACGCTTTTGGTCACTAGCTCACAATTACGCAGCCCAGCGGACCGATCGAGAAAACTGAAGGCTCTAGGGACGTCTTACAAGATGTGGGCTGAGAGAAGGCAAACCTCCAGGGATGCAGCACATGCCACCCGGGTTGTGGGTGCCATCCTCCGGAAAGTATCAATGCAGGATTCTGCAGTTACTCGCTCGCCGCCGCCGCCACCGCCAAGGCCAGAAGTCCGGGACGGTTCGCTAGCTAGCTTGCTAAATAATGATGTTCAGCCAGCTCCAGCGCCGTCACCCCCGTTCGATCATATAATACCATCTTTTGATTTCTCCTTAGACTTTGCTAATGATGCGCCGCTTGATATTGTTTTCAATGGCAACAACACAATTGACTGGGTAGGAAGTATCCCCTTAAAAACTCAGACTATGAGACTCATTGATTTGTTGGCAGAGCGCAATCGACCAGTTCCTACTAGACAGGGACGACGGCGGATTTAAACCTGTGCCTTAGACATCGACTCGGGGAGCGCTGTTACTACTATCCAGATTTATACTAGATAATACCTAGAATTTCATCGGCGACGGAATCACGAACTATACGCTAACCTACCTACCTAATGGGATAACACAAAACTACCTAGTCCCCGGATGTTGTAAGAGGCGGATGAGATTTCGCGACTATGTACTTGTTGTCTATTGCCGTATAGATATTTGTTTTGTTTTCTTGCGACGTCTACTCTATATAGATACCTAAGCTGGGCCTTCGAAGGCGACTTATTGTAATGCATTCATCGAGGGCGTCCGGGCGCCTAGTTAGCAAAAGAAACAGGGTTGTCATTCAAATAGCGAATGATTTTATAAAGATTTATTTTTTTGCTTCCCGAGTGTTGATTGTCTTATGTCGTGAGGGGTAGTGTCTCGCGCTCCCCGTCTGGTGGTCCAGGGGTTAGTGCCAGGTATCGTAATGCTGGTTCTAGCTTATATTTGGTGGACAGTTCATCTGGTCTATAGAAGAATGGGCTAGAAAGACTCTACTTGAGCCGGGGGATCCCAAGATTACCTGCTAGTGTTGGTCGGATAGCTGTTATAATATAAAATACTAACAGTTGGGGTGGACTGCCATACAACATACATTTATATGCTATGGTTGACATGTGTGCGAATGTGTATCAATAAAGCGTGTATGTATAATATACGTATAACCTACGAGAGGGATTTTGCTATTATGTTCTTTATTTGTGTAGCAAGACTTCTATGTCGCGTCGCGTAACCATGCAGAATTGAATTTAATCTCGTCTGCAGTGATAGTGCTGAGATAGTCGTCACATTGTAATTAGATCCATCTGTAATGACCCGAACAGTCTCAAGAACTTTTGAGACTGTAGTTTGGATTTAATTCTATACTCGCGATCCAATATAATGGGGGGAGGGTATCTATCATCTAGTGTAACCGGGAAATGCTGCCCTGACCCGATGCTAAATAACCCAATATATATACAGTATAATACAGTATATGGCTCATAGACTAATTCCCTCATTAGTCTGAAGAAAACATCCCCCAAACCCGGAGGATAGGTACCTAGGTAAGTAGTGCCCTCCCCCTTTTCTGCTCGCCTTAGGTAGTACAAGCAGGGCCGCAAGACCACCCCCTCGTAGTCGTGTATGTCTCAGCTCAGGCTGTATCAGAAAGCGCCGTACTTGGCTGCGTAAGCTCATGGCGTTCGTGGCTTATCCTGTGACCTCTTCGTGCAGACCGACGGCCTATCGATTGATCGTCAGGCTTCTCCCATCTACGTAGCAGGGACTTAGCGAACAGGCGTTGGTCACTAATGTCGGAGGGTTTTTCGTCTAACTTCTTCATTAAGGTAGCAACCCATTTTCTCTTGACTTTGGACACGTTGGTAATTTCTTGCACCGTACGAGCGTTTGACTCGAGCCCGACTTGCTTCAAGTTTCGCATGACCCTAACCGCTTCCTCGAGATAACCTTTTTGAAGTAGCGTCCCGATCACAGCGTTCCAGGTGACGATATTGGGCACGATACCCTCCTTGATCATCATGTTGAGAGTCACTATCACTCCTCGAGTGTGTTTATGATTTCTGAGGCCCGTTATTAATATCGTGTAGGTGTTGACCGACGGCCGCGGATAGAGTACGTTTTTTCCGAGCTTCTCCATCTCCCGGTTTGCGCGCTCATGCATGCTTTGTATTATGCGGATACCGTTTTCGAAGGTCGAACCGAATTGCATAAAATTCCGCAAGAATGTGTCAAGAACTATAGTTCCCTGGTCTTTTACGATTTGGGTCATAATCGGATCACCCTTATTTAAAAGCTTCATGAAGTAGTTATAATACATTCGTAAAGGTCCTGTCCTTTGAATAGTCCAGAAATGGACTCTAAACATGAGCGCCAGGGTGATACTATCTGGCTGCATGAGCAATGCATCCGGTAGTGGTTTTAGCATGGAAATAAATTGATCGACTCCTTTTAACTTGGGAGGTATCTGCTCTGGGCGCGTGGCAAGTAGATTCTCCAGTGGGAAGAGAGTGAGCTTCTGTAACGGGGAGGGTTTAAAAAACTTCAAGTATACCTGAACCATCAATCTCCAGGCGCGCGCCGTGTCTCTTTTTCGTTGTCTTCGCCTATGCTGTCGTCGCGACTCATTGTATTGGTATATGAAATCTAAGACATCATTTACGAGGTATAGGGACCAGACTTTGCGCGCCGTAATCATAGCGGCAATACGGTAGAGCGATTCAAAATCTAAAGCATGCTTTGCCCCATTAATGAGAATCGAGAATATGTGAGGGTCCGGTTCGATACCACGTTTGGCTAAGAGATCAAATATATTCAGTGCGACTTCGACTCGTCCGCGAATGCAAAAGTTCCGCATGAGTGTAGATAGAGTAAGTATATTCGGCTGGAACCCGGCGTCCAAGAGCATTTTGAATAGTTCGTCTGGGGCTGCATGGTCACCCGGTAAATTGCCTTCTTCCACCGAGAGGAGAGAGGTACAGGTGCTGATCGCCGCTGGCGAATTAATGTTGAACCCAGGAAGGCTCGAAAGAAAATGTATGATTTCAGCTGCGTGTACTTTATATTTCGAACCACGGGTGAAGCGGCTTGCGAGATGTAGCAACGTGTTCTCGTTTAACGGATGCTCGACATTTTTCAGGTCTTCATGAAACTCGACTAACTTGGGTGTGGGTAGTGACGAGATGACTTTCCGAATCACCAGTTGCTCTAGAACCATATACCTTGGGGTACTGTTCTTAAGCAAGAAAGATATGAGCTCGGTGACTTGCCGGTGGTCACTCTTGCTGATCTGATTATCATCTAAAGTCCGGGAAAGGAGATAAACTATATCCTCCACGATGTAGCTTGGGCACCACGAGGGCTGAAATGTTGCCCGAATAAGACTGGGTATTGTGCTAAGGTGCGAACGAAACGCAGATATTATTATATGCGGCCATAGGGACTCGCGTCTTGCTTGGTTTTGTCTCTGCCATACTTCCTTCATTGCTTCTGAGTCTTGCCTCCCGGACGACGTCCATAAAGGATGCTTGGATAAATCGTCATCGGTCCCAGAAGCATGATGAGAACTAGAGACTATCCCCAACAGCTCTCTGAAATGAATTTTCCACATGTGAAAATGCTCGAGTCGTGTTCCAGCTTCCATCCCCAACCGCCCCCCGATGAGTCTTTCCAGTTGGCTTATCGCATGACGTGCTTCTCCAGGGGAGAGACCATACACGTGCATTAGATCTTTATATACGATGCTGTAGTCTCCTAGAGATTGTAGTATCTTTTTTTGTAGGTCATGAGAACCCTCGACTGGTTGATTACGGAGTTTATTCAGCTCTGGCCGAGGCCGAGGAACAAACTTCTTAAGATTCCCATCCCACGCGGGTTGGTTCTCCGCAATTGGCTCGCCTTGATACGTTTGTGGAAGCAAAGCCGGGTCGTATGTAGGAAGTCCAGTCCCATAGTTATCCAAAACGTCGTATCCATTTGAGAGCTCTCGTCTTTGCTCTGCTAGAGAAGTCCATATCGACTGCGGCGCTGCTGTCGAGATGGCTTGAGTATATAGTTCAAAATGCTTAGGTCTTATTCGCACAGAATGAGGTTGGGTAAGCCGGGTTATACATTGGCGACATATGAATGGCGTTGTCATGATCAAGAAGATAGAATGATTGCCAGTGCTGGCAGACGGATTCGATCGATATGAGGTTGACAATTAGGCATTTTTATGACCACTCGCGGGCATCGCGTTCTACTTCCAAGGGAAAACAAAGGTGAAGACAAGCCTAAAAGTCTACCATTGTAGGAATTTGGAGGTATACTACCCCTAAAGTGTCGATAATATACAGAATTAGATGTCGTAGGGCGGCATTTCTTTACTGTCTAGATGTTGAAGCATTTAGAAGATCCGCTAAAAGTTGCATAGCAGGGGTTAGTTTCCTTATCGCGTCTCTGATTATTATCGATAAGCAATAATAACGACTTACCTGCCAAACCGTCATGTCGCACTTGCCTGTACCTTTACTTCTTCCAAGCTTAAGCTTAACTCCATTTTCGAACCTTTTTTTCTTTTTCTTTTTAACGGCTTTACTCCTTCACCATTCTGAATAAGAGGGAAATATAATTGGCACAATACGAAAATGTCAACGTCACAAGCAACACTCAGCGCAGCAGCCGACGACCGCAAGGCGCGACTTGCTAAGCTCAAGAATCTAAAGCGCAAACAACCCGCCGACGAGATCGCGCCTCCAGAATCAGAACGTTCAGCATCGCCACCTATACCGCCCGCATCAACATCCGTAGAAGAAGCCCAGAAAACCGCGGAAACAGAAGAAGCTGTAGCGCGACTTCACTTATCAGGCCGCAACTATGACCCCGAGATGAGAGGCCCGAAGCTAGGATTTGAGGCGCCGCCGACACTGGGCATGGAAGGGCCCACGCTGGAGGAACAGGCGGCCAAGGTGGAGGCCGAGATCAAGCGGAAAGCTGCCGAGGACGCAAAAGACGACAAGGGAGTCGACCTGTTCAAGCTCCAGCCAAAGAAACCGAACTGGGACCTTAAGAGAGATCTAGATAAGAAGCTGGAGATTCTCAATGTGCGTACGGACAATGCTACAGCGAGGCTGGTTAGGGAACGTATTTCAAATGCCCAGGACGCAGCGAAGAAGACGGCTAAATCTGTGGAAAATGGCGATGAGGGAAGTATCGAGGCGGCAGGCATGGATGGTGTTGCGTTAGTTGAGGGTGTACGGGTACGAGAGAGGGAGGAAGAGGAAGAGGAGCGGAGAGAACGCGAAGATGAGGATAATGCATAAAGATATTGCGAGGACTTGAATTTGCATGGCTACGGCGTTTGGTTTACAGCATTGGCGAAAAGTAGACTCAATTACAATATATGTAAGCTTAAGTAGAAGTAGGTTTTCCTTTAACTTAATACTACGATACCCAATCTCAACGACTGGTGTTCATTGCCTGCGTAAGAGCTAACCTCTTGGAGAAGGGGCTTAGACTGCGCTCGCGCTGCTCTCGACGCGGCGGTGCGCCCCCACGTCTTCGGTCATTTCTATGAATAAGTGCTGGGTCCCGACTTGCTTGTCTTTCGTAGTCTCGCGGAGGGCTTCTGTCACGCCTTCTGGGCTCATCCGGAGATCTGGAACGAAATTGTCGTCGTTCGCGTGGCGGCGGGGATCTGCTAGGACTTGAAGAATATCGTTTACGCCGATTGTCCAGAGATCTCTGTCTCGGGGCTTCATCTCTTGCATCATAATAACTTCGTACAGGGCTATCATCCCGGGCTGGGGATCTTGACCGCCTTGTAGGCCCACCTAATGGGCTGTCATTTTTAGTTGACCTCTGAGGGTTTGGGTCATCGCGCCGATTATACTCGCTGGCAGAGCTATATGAATCCCTTCGCACACCACGGCTAGTCTCTCTCCTAGGAACATCTAGATGAGCCGCAGTGGATTGCTGGGCTCGGGGTGGCGGTGAAGCGGACCATCTCGTAGATATAGAAGACACAGAATCATAAGAAGCCGATCTCCTACGTTTCGGAGATTCATCTCCCGATTCATCTCCCTCCAGTTCTCGCTTCTTCGCCCTTTCGGCTTCTCTCTTGGCTAGTTCCTCATCAGCCACACCTTTCCTGTAGAACTGTTAGTGGTGCCTAGGTTTAGTGTCTCTGGGCAATTCATACTGCTTCTGCAAGGCATCTGGGGTGTCACTGGCCAGCTTTGGAACAAGTTTCGGGTTGAAGAGTTGCTGTGTCCGAGACGGTCTTGAGACGTAAGGCCGCTCTTGTGTTGTAGCTTTACATTCGTATGAGTAGTGACGTGCTAAAAATGTCAGTAGGATTCTTTAAAAAGAACTGGGTTAGACTGGACATATCTCTTTTAAGGCACTTTTGGCATTGCACACTTGTGGGAGTAGATTTTGAAGGACCCCGTCGATACATGGCTGTGAGGTCGACTGGCTCTTATGAGGGTGCGGTGGAAAGAGGAAGAGTCAGAATGACGGTCTGGGGTTGAAAAATAAACTGTAGGTTTTGATAGAATGAGATGGAATTCCCATTTAATGAAATATTTTAATACCAGTGTATCTTTCGTTTGCTTAACACTCTGGGTAGCCTTTTGATTTCATTGAAGGTTGGCCATTTAATGTTCTTGGAGATGTCAGGTAAGAGGTAGGTACATATTACAGGTATATATATATTGTGGCGGTGCGAACTGTTTCTCAGCCACGATCCACAAGTTCCGTGCATCGTCCTATCTACCTATCTTATGCCCGTACATCTGAAACTGGATGGAAGATGCAGGTACGTACTGTGTACTTTAGGAACATACATGTACTATGTATAAGGGAGTAACCAGCCGCAGTCAGGGGACAACGGCTCCTACCGGCAGCAGACGGCAGGTAAATTGAGGCGCTAACTCGCTAACTAGCGCCTCCCCAAGATTTGTCCCAAAAGCCCTGCCCATTTTTAATGTTCCAATGTTCGTTCATCGACCAAGAACAGACCCGACCTAGAAGAAAGATTGAAACTTGATTTTACTTCACTGGGTTTTGGTCACGATCGATTTTCCCGATCTCCCAATCCTCAACGGCCAAACCTCATTTTAGTCCTTCGCATTTTGGAGCACGCGAGGACTTCACTGTCGCCCTCTTACCACTCGAAAAGGCTGGGTGCGACGGCGAACCAAATATAGGAATAGAGGAGAGGTTATATGGTAGCCTCATTCTCTTGTTCGGTCACGGTCACGGTCACGTTATACATATCTAGCTTTCGGCACGGTTCGATCCACCTAAGAATATCGTCGGTCAGAAGAACATATTGGTGCCTGAGGTGGCTTAGGACTCTACCCAAATACGGACATATCACCACCTGCGCATCATTTTAGATCTAATCTTTTGCGACCGAGTTACCAGTACGAGCCATACTTCTACCCTCCATATTCTTCATAGGACTACATACCACTACATACCACTACATACAACTACATACGAATGTACGTGCAACCCAACTTTTCTCTATATCTACACATACCTTCTTACCTGCCTACCTACCTACTTACTTACCTATATATACTACCACTCAACTATTACATCGTCTTCAACCAATCCAATTCCTATTTAGTCCCCAGTAACTGACCTAACTGATCCGGTCTGGGCCTAAGCCTACCAGTACCCTTCTGTTCTTTTCACTCCCCCCCAATCCCGCATCCCACCCTGATCTTCCTTCCCATGCTGACAGCAGCCCTATTCTAGTCTCGACCACTCCCACTACCATTCTTCGGCACCTCACACATAGTTCATCATCTGTAGCTTGAGAACCTCAACACGGCCTTCTGCGCTCCAACACTCGAACCTTAGAATCTTCCGATACGATTTCGAGATATCCAGATCACAACAATGATTAGCCGTATTTCGTACTCCCCGAGGGCTGCTTTTGTTCATTTTCTTTCCTGATTTCCGGCTATTCTGACGTCGTCATACCGAAGCTATTGGTCCTCTCGATCGTTAAGTACATTTGTTCGTTCGGGGCTCTAATCAGAACTTGCGAGGTCGCCGTCGCCTTTCTTTCTGTCGTGATCGAGAAGAAGTGATAAGCCTTGCCTACTGTACTCAGCTTTAAACGCGATCCGTACCAACTATGGCGACCGCACCTCCCGCGACCGCAGCTCCTAAAAAATTGTCTTTTGCTAAGGTATGACTACTCCAAGCTTTAACTTCGGCCTCAGCTTCAGTTCTGCGCGTTGCTTTCTTGCTTTCCCTCTTGTCCTATCGATATTTAGCTGACAAGCAATCTAGGTGGTTGCGTCTAAACCTAAAGAAAATATGCCCGTTGTTTCGGCTCCTCGAGTTGCTGTACCGGCCATAGAACATCGCTCGCAGCCCGCTGTCGCTTCTACTACTCCAGTCGCGACGACTAAGAATACCACAGCCATGCCTGGGAATACTCCGGTAGCTGTTGCCAAGTCTCCTCTAGTTTCTAAAGAAAATGGTATAGCAGTTGTTCCGTCTAGTAGCGTGGTCGTTGATGGTACTAGACTTACACAAGGCGGGAAGAACGTGCATGCGTCCCTTTCTACTGCTAGCGCTTCGTCTACACCTAGTCTCGTTGTGAATGGCTCCTCGTCTTCCATAGGCGAAGCACAAACTAAAAACGACAATGGGGCGTCGGTATCGGATGACGCTTCGCAGAGAGCTGATTCCAACTCGGAGATGGGTACTAAGGCGCCCAGCATTGATGAGAAGAGTATTACTTCGGGGACTACATTTGCGCTTGATGAAAAGGAGTCCCTACGCCCGGATGACAGTGCTAGCGTGAAAGCGTCTGCAGAGGAGGACGAGCCCTTCTCGATAAGGGGTTCACTAATTGCTAACTCCCGGATTGGCTCTGAAGTGGCTCGCATTCATCGTCTTAGAATTGGCGATATGCCAGAGAGACGAATCGTCCAAATACTCCCCGAGTTGCAAGACAAAGGAATTGCCACCCCACAGAGCGGTGCTTCCAGCCAGCCGCCCCCAGTAGAGCAACCTCAGACACTAGGAATCGTGAATGGGTCGTCAGACGCCTTTACATCAATATACGGCCAGAACCCAGACGAGAAGCTTTTAGAAGCTATGCAATCCCCGAAAGATCGGATTTTCCTCCTACGGCTAGAGCAAGACGTTATTAATTTTGTTCAAGCCTCCAAGTAAGCATAGACTTGATTCCTGTAAGCCTGTAAGGTGCTAACGTTTGACTAGGGAGCCCTATATGGATCTTCCACCGAATAACTCATTCTGCAGAATGTTAACCCACAAGCTTGCTGACTATTATCACATGACGCATTCTTTCGAAGCTATCCAAGGTTCTGTTCGTATCTTCCGGACTCCTTTCTGCCGGGTTCCTCCCTCCTTGGCCAGTATCGTGGGTAATACCCCCAATAGCAATACTACCACAACTCCCCCGCAACTCCTACCCAAGAAGATCATGCGGCGTGGCGAGGAAGGTGGATCAGGACACGCTAGTAGCAGTCCATCCAAAGCAACCTCCGAGGTGGGGAGCGATGGCAAGGAAAAGTCGGCTACCAAAGACAAGTAAGTGTCCTAAATATTAAACGTGGATTTTGTGCTGACTATACGCCAGGCCTACTAGAGAGGAGCGCGAAGAAGCGTACAAACAAGCCCGAGAGAGGATTTTTGGCAGTTCGGACAAACCTGGAGAGTCTACACCAGGTGAGATACTTCATATTCTACCAATTGTGTTAGCAAGCTACTAACTAATTTTAGTAGAAAATGACGATGCGAATGGCATCTCTCGAGCAAGCTCCGTATCGGCAAAGGATAAGTCAACCCTTGGGAAGCGAGGAAAGACTAGCAAGCAACGAAGAGACGACTCTGAGAGCTTCGATTCCCGATCACAGTATCAGCCGTATTACCATCCTCACCAACCCAATTGGACCACACCTCATTATATCCCCATCGGGCACCCACAGTATAGCAGTCCTGTTCAGCAGCCGTACCAAAGCCCGATACCCCAGGCCTATGCGCCGCCTGGGCAACCCTATCCTGCCATGATGCCTAACGGCGCATTTCCGCAGTACGGCAATATGCCAATGGTGGGTGTTCTCTCAACACGTTGTATACTCACGTAGCTAACCTTATCTAAAGTATCCTCCTCCTCAGACGCAGGTCACTCCGCCACGGTACACTGCACCTAACGGCGCTGTGGGTGCTTACGCTGGCCCGGTCCCGGTCCCAGTCCCGGTCCCAGTCCAAACCCCTCCGCCTCAACAATGGCAACCTAATTATACTCAGGCTCCGCCACTAAGCCCGTATCAAAGCCGGGCTCCTCAACCGCAGACTCCTGGAAATCCAGGGCCAGTTGGTATCCCTTACGCATTCGGTCAGCTTCCTGCGAATGCCAATCCGCATGATC